CTTCTATAGGGAAGTGAGAATCAAAGCAGAAACCTTAGGCCTATTCCTTCTTGTGAGATGCTGTAGCAATACAGATGTAAGTTTTAATGCAGTTAGTTAGTTACCTTTAAAAATAAATTTATGTCAGCATGTGTACAATGCTGACAACCTCATTGATGCTTTGAGAACTAAAACAAAGGGAGTTGATAAGTCTGCTAGCTAATTACCGCTTATTAAACTTGAGTACATCTTCCAAAAAAGCCAGATAAGCTTGTCAGCTCTGCAAAGCCACCAGAGACCTAATGACATTTTTTGTAAGAATGGTGCTTTACCACAGTATCCTGGACAGGGCTTTCTCCTTAGATGGTCTGGTGGAACACAAGGAACCGCACACATCCTCCCTTTTGCTGACACTGAGCTGATGCAGTAATACTGTTATATGCAGCAAATACGGAAGGTGATGGTAGAAGACAAAGTACCATCGACTCATGCCTCATTGGCACTACGAGAAATGTGTTTTCAGAGGAATCCAAAAGGTGAAACTCATCTCTAGGCAAAGGGCCAGCACAAAGCAAAGGTCCACGGAACTATCTCAGAGTGATGCTTAAATAAATGACAGGCCCCATGGAAGACTTGTACATAGAGGCAAATTTCACCCTCCGACTAAAGAAGGAATATTTGAAAGAGCCAATTATGAATGAAAAGCAACAAACAGGTCAGCAAGAACAGTATTTGCAGCAAAGCAAAGGAGCAGCAGGCTGCAAGACTAGGTCAGGTCAGAAGGGAATGATAACAGTATAGAGGTCAAAATATTTTGTGGCCTGGAAAAGGAAGAGGCAATGGAAAGAGTATAAAAGAGGCGAAGCCCAGCGTTCTAGGGAGAGCCTTTGTACAGATGACTTGTTTCTCATTTCAAAAACTCCAGGAGACTTGGAGACCCCAAAACCAATGTCCCTCTAAGTCAAATGCCTTTCCACTGACTTTGACAGTTTTTCTGCATCTAGCTGGGAGCAATGGCTTTATCATTGGTAACTTACCAAACAGCAAATGGAAAGTGTCAGAATGAGAAAAGGCAGCAATGTAGCAATGCAATCATGCTGCTAAATTTGGCATTAAAAGAGAATGCATTTGCCTGGAAAACCTTGTCTAACAGTTTTCAGGAAGCGGTGTGACTTCACATGGCAGAAAGGCATGTATTGCACAGTGCAGACCGCTGCAGATTTGATGGTGCAAATACAACTTCTCAAAAATCCACACGTCAGTGATCATCATTTTCTAGTGGCAACCACCCTTGCCCCACAGCAAGGGGCACACACAAGTTATCGCCAGTACAGTTAGAGATTTGGCAGAAAAATTGGATCACAGCATCTCTGCAATTTGGTAACATAATCTCCAAGTGCCAGTGGCAATCAAATGACGAGCAAGTTCAAGGAAGAACGGCACACACTGGCTGAACATCATCTTTCAGCATGATTCTGTACTTTGAAATAATATATTTTCAACATGCAAAAGAATCGAAACACAGCGGGGCTTAAAAAAGGGACTGTGATATTTTCTCACAGGATTACTGGCAGCAGGACATCAAAAACTAGTATGGCAAATTGGCTTGGTCAGAAAACGTTATAACTAAAGCAAAAAATGTAGAAAAGATGTGTTACTGCACGTGAAAAAGGGAATATTTCATGAAAGTAGAAGTCACACGTACAACTGATAAGGAGCACTTCCCACTGCAGTTGGCAATAAAGCCTCCGAAATCAGGGACTAACTATCCAGAAATGGACAAACAAACCAACCTTGAATGATTCCTGTTCATTTAAAAAGCACCAAAATCCATTTTCCCTGTTAAAAATATATTCCTATATACATTTGGATGTTTGAAAGACATACTCATTGTATCAAAACGTCATATCAAACAATCCAAAGTGATGTAATCATTAAACATTAGCTTAGGTTTTAAGAAAAGTCAAAATGAACGTTTCAAACATGGTGCTATGCTGACGGCGTATTTCACTCTTCAAGTAGGAAAGTTAGTGAATATTTACCCTTTCTCACGCCTTCCCCATCAGCGAGTATGTGTTGCTCTCTGACGGTCACTCTCTCTCCTTCTCAGTCTTCCAGATTAGGTCTCTACAGGATAAGCTTAAGCAGACCTTGCTACTTGAAATGATGCAGATCTCTACTATACCATTAGCACAGCAAGGCAATGCTGACTGAGTATGAAGTGAACTTTGTCTCCAGAAAGAGCAGTTTTTCTGAAAGGATGATCTTTCCTTCAAATTTGTAAGAGATTTTGTTATGCTCAACTGACTCTATTCTCTAGCTTCCTAGGGGAAGGGTTTAGTGTTTCTTTGCAATTCTTCTATTAAGAAAAACAGGACAATAAAAAAATGGATTAGCCACTAGGTACTGCAGCATAGCTGGAAGTGTTGTAGGTGAAGATCTAAAAGTAGTGTCTCACTCTAGATTTTGGAGGTTGAATTTTATTCCTTGCAAACTCGGATCTGCCTCCTAAGTGGACCTAGAAAAGTCTTTGGCTTCTGATTAACAGCAAAAAGCCTGTACTTTCTTGTAGTTACGCTATGTTACTAGGGAGACAACTGCGATTTTGTTAATTTACATCCCTACCCATGTGGAAGACCTAGCTATACAAAGCAGAACATTGGAATAATGACTACAGTGTAAAAATGATAGGAAATTCCTTCAAATGTATAAAAATGAATAATTAAAAAATACATACAGTTACATAATGCAAAATTTCTCCTTGTAAAAATGTAACTTGTTGAAAGTTTAATTAAAATTAAAATTACAGTACTAATCCTCATTAAGCCTGAACTTCCTATACCATTATTTAAACAAACAAACAAACCAACCAGCCTAGGCTATGTGAGCCAGCCCTCCTCAAACTGCAGTGATATGCTGAACTGGGAGAAAGACATCCTGCACTTTGTATGTCAACTCAGCCTTCAGAAATGGCTGATAATGGCTTGTAATGAAACATGCATCTACTGTATTCTTTACAGTCTTTAAAAATACCAGTATTCACAGTTTTTCAAAAATAGGCATTTTCTTTATGCAGGAAAACTTCTACATTATTACTCTGAAGCCTCAGAGTATCTAGCAGCTTCCAAGAATATTTTCTTCATTTGGTTAATTCAAAGCTGAAAAATAGCAAAATAATTATCTTCCCTACTCCCATACTCAAACATAGGAGAAAAGAACAAAATACAAAAGGTGCCTGGAAGAAAGATCAGTAATTCTGAAGCCTTGAGGGGCATCAGATCAGACTCCCAAAGGAAGTTGGCATTCTAACACTTCTGAAAAAGATCTGATCTATGGCAACTCAAAACCAATTTACTAAAACACCCTTCACACGGTAAATCACTTAGTTTTGTATTAAAAAAGTGTTTTTAAGACATCAAATGTTTTCTATAAGAAATTTTTCTCATCTATTTCAATACATTTACAGTATATTTAATTAAAACGCAAATCCTAAAAAATATTCTTAAAATAAAATAAAATACCATGAAGTTGAAAAGCCAAACAAGACTAAGGTTGATTTACCTAAATCAGGTTTTCCATTTGCTGGCTGAATCATGATGAAAAACTAACGACTTAAATCCCTTTGATATACAAGAAAACACACCGTTTCCCAGAAATCTGGGATTAGCTGAAAAACATTGCCTCACATACTATTATTTATTTGCCTTATAAGCTAAAGGTATTATATGCAAGACAGATGGGGGAGGGGGAAATAAACAGATTTTTCTTTCTGGTTCCACTGCACCCCAGCCACTCTTACTATCAAAATCAGTTACAAGAACTTGATTTCAAGCAGTGGCCTCTTCTGCACTGAGCCACAGTATCCTAATAAGTTAACAGCAACCAACCATGGAGCGCAGAGTGTTTAGCACGGTGGCAGCATTCACCTAATTGCCTATCATTAAAACTATTTTCAGATTTCACACCACAGATACGGGCAAAAACAAGGGCAGAAAACATATAATGATAGATCAGAAGCATACAGTTAACATATGTTAACTAATGAACTACACACAGCGTGTAAGTGTTGAAGGAGACAGGGAGAGGCTGCACCCTCCGTGCGGCTCTGCTCTGCTCGGACGGCAGGCTCACGCACTGCGGCCGGGGCTGACCTCCGCCGAGCAGATGAGGACGGTCCTGGGAACCTCTCCCCTCCGCTCTCTGCACAAGCGCATCGACTTATCATGTTTGCCCCAAGTTTACTCAAGTGACCTGAGACATCCTCAAGGATTGCTACACTGACTATAAAAATGTTTTTTTTTTAATAGCTACTTTTAGTTACGAAGCACTCAGAAACATTTAGAATACGTTTTCTCATGTCAAGCTTCTGTCTAAAATGAAGAAGATAAAATTATATGAACACACTGAGATCTCCACACATTCCCCTAATTCCATATCCCAGAACTACACTAAGTATTGTCTGACAATAGCCACACTGCAAAAATAACTTGCACCATAAATCCAGACTATTGCCCATTACTTACCATGCCAGGGTTAATCGACCTAAACCAGGGCATTTAGAGTCATTCATACCCTTCTCTGCTTTAAAGTGCCAGAAACAGCATTGATAGGAAACTCCATGCAAACTTCTTTCCACAGTACATCAGACAAAGAATTAGCAAAAAGAGTTTTTTTGTTTTTTGTTTTTTTAAAAACACTAACAAATTCTACTGGTTATTAAAAAGTAACTTCTGCCAGAGGCATTTCAGTAAGGACAGTGCATAAATTGAGATGAATACTTTGGTAAACCTAACTACCAGCCTAATGCCTATAACAAAAAATAATAAAGAAAACTAGGCATGTTGCTATATCAGTGATTTTTTTCCATTAAATATCGATGAGCACTTATATTCCCTTCCAGTACCAGTGGCAACTCATTTTATGAATGCAAATTAAATTTTAATTTTTATTCTCAGTGAGCATTGGTTTATGCCTGTGCTCTGTATTATATGAAAGCATAATACAATAATGGAAGTGCCTACCTTTTTCAGGAACCGTACTCCATAGGTAAATATATAAAGGTAAAATGTAAATCGCCACCTGCAAAAGGTACAAGAAATTAACTCTAGGACATCAGCTTTACATACTTTGCAGTTCAACACATGATTTCTTATAACACTGCCAACCCAACACACCCTGGTCACATTAACAGAAGTTGAAGCAAATTTTGATCTGGATTTCTAAGGCTTTTGTTATAACGCATTGTGCTCAGCTGCCTGCTTTCCCCCATCTGCTATTATCCCTATGAAAATATAGCTAATTTCAATATAACATGATAGGAAAAAATTTTTTCAAGGATAATTAAGCTCTTAAAAGTTTTCACGAAAACTATCAAGACAGTAAAGGGCTGAGGACAATTAGCACTGCTATTGCAGGGAGGTTCACTTTTTAAGCATTCACCAGCCTCAGGGAAAAGAGGCCAAGACAGCCATCACCGCTTCCAAGTAGGAAAAACTTCAACCCGCTTTTCCTAAGCAAAGATGATGCTACGTTTTCTCGAGTGCACGTGAAATAACTGTTGTGTTTTGTGGTTTTCTTTTCAGGCAGACTGGAAGCTAGCGTCAAGATGCCACAGAAAATAAGAAAGAAACCAGCCTGAGATTTAATTCTATTCTATGAGATCATCCCCTTCTCTATGTCTTCCTCCATTCCCCAATAAGAGAAACACACAAGGTGTTTTTCCATCTTCTACACCCATCATGGGCTTTGGAAAGAAGAGCCAATGGAAGCATAAGGAAATCAAATCAGAATCCCACGCAGTAGAAATTCTTGAAGGAATTCCTGTTTTTACCCAAGGGCTGGGGTGACCACACAAACATGATTGAGGTAAACAGCAGTGACTTACTATTAGTAACGTTTACAGCAGGATGAGATTCAGCTTCATTAATGTGAGGCAATACTGCAGCATGAATCGTATTCAATTACATATTTTACAACACTTAAAGCTTTCTGTCCACTGGCAAAACTGCTAGCTTACAGGTAACTGTCATGGTAACGTGAAACCATTCCACTAATATCTGAAACCGAAAATGCTCTTGTGTAAAAGAAGGCTAACCCAAACTGTCTTCTTCAAAGCTACCTTTACAAGTGGTTAGAAAGAAAGTTGTCACACACAAATAACCCCATGAACAAGCTGTATAGGGGAGAATATGTCAGTGAGATTTAAAGTGTGATGCTTCAGCTGAACAGAAACCCTCTCTTATGCTGTAACCTCCAGAGCAATGAAGAGATTAGTTTATTCATTAGTATTATACAAATATGAGTCCCTTCAAGAGTTCAGTGACACAAGCAACAGAGCATGAGCTTTCACTTTGGCAAGTTTCTCGAGATACAGCAAGAAGAGCACTTGCATGGAGAATGGTAGTTGTGCTGGTAGAAACATTCAGATCATGTACATGGAAGAAACAGTAAGGACAGCAATATGAGGAATGCTATTTGGGTAAGAATTTTCTCCTAAAACCAGTCCTATGGCTGGAAAGCTGCTGTTTAACTTCAAAGCCACAAACCTCCTTCGGTGAAAGTTTCAAGACTGTTATTGCAAAAAAAAGTACTAGGAGGAAAAAAAAAAAACAAACACCAATGTAATCTAATCTCACTATTGAGCACTGACACTGCCATTCATTGACTCACACAGTTAAAATAATCCCTCACAGTGTTTTCTTGTTTTAAAAATCTCCCTAGTATCACCTTTATTCCACATTTTCCAAGCAAAATTTGTAACATAGTTGAGGACATTTGCAACTTGCTGTTGAGAGATGCAGTATTCCATAAAGGAATTCAAAGGCATTCGTAAGTATTTGAAACATGTTAAAAGTTACATTTTAGATGGTGTAACGCAGGGATTTCCCAGTCTGCACAGTTCTCTGAAAGACTCCGTTTGCAGTATTTGCTTCAGCTATCATCTCAGAAAATTAAAAAGCCCTTTCCTGAAACACGCAATTTCAAAAACACAGATTTTCCAGCCTAACATTGCAGCCATGCTTTATGGTATTACCATAGATCTATGGTAAAACTACGGATTGCCCCACAGCAGGATTCCTGGAGATTAGCAAATGTTTGAGGCAAACGCTGCCAGCCATTATGTGGGCCTGCCAGAGGCTATCCAATTGCTCCAACTGCTCAAGTAGTACAAAAATGATATACATATACAAATATATAATAAAAACATGCTATTGCTCTTCTTTCCTCTTTTTTCCCAGCCTTCCCAAGCAAGTCTACCTGGGCCGAGCATTAAAAAGGCAAAGTAAGTCTCAGAACAGGGTGGTACTCATAGCTGATCGAAGTGTTAACTTCCTAAAAAATAAAAAATAAAAAAGATAGCCATCCACAAAAAGCTATACAACTAAACTTCTGGCTTTATCAAACTGTGATAAAGAAAAATTCAGAATGAAGGAAAGTCAGAACTGGCCCCCGGCATCTTTGTCATCGTTAATCAGCTAGTTCTGGCAACAGCAGCGCTACAGAGGACTCCCCGTTGCTCTGCGTCAGGCAGCTGCCTTTTCTGCGGCCTCCAAAGGGAAATCCTGCCTGGTTCAATATCCAGGTTGGAATCTCAATCTCATGCAAGAAAGCGCAAGCTGTTTCCCATGCTATATTGCCACTACTTGTAGCTGGTTGATTGTTGCAATTAGCAATGAAACTTCAACAGGCCAAGGTCAAACAGATGAATTTAAGAAGATCTGGGAGAAAACTGAGTGTATATTATTATATAGTAAGTGCATATGCCTTGTCTAACTAGTTAAGTAACTATTTACAACACTTGAGTATATATTGCCCACTAATACTGCTTCTTCACCTAACAACAATGAGCTTAACATCTGGAGATATTTCATCTGTAGCTTTTTAAATTAAGAAAAACAAACCAATGATGTAACTAGATGCTTGTTACATACAAATCAACGTACACTGAGAGCTATGAAATCTACATTACATTAAACCAACAGTTAAGACTATTCATAAAATAGAACGAGTGACGTTTATGAGGCATTACAATCTGAAGAAACAGATGCACAAACGGACAAAGTTAGGGGCCATTTAATCCCATCAGAGGCTTCAGCTTTGAAACCAGGAAAGATAAGCGCCTATCTATAGCTGTTGGCTATACGCTATCAGTAATTTAACTATAGATTTACCTATAACCCTTAGCACAAGGTCGCATACAGATCACACTGCCTCTGAAGTACACTAGGAATTGAATTAGCACTCAGTTCTCTGTCTGGTTACCTACCTTGCTGCAGGGAGCTAATAATCTAAAGCCATTTTGATGCTTTATTGGTATATGAGCAGCAGGTAACTTCCCTTCAACCTCCCCTTTTACTCACCAGCCTAGTAGTAAGAACACTTGCCCAGACTTTGGAAATATCTAGGTTTAATTTTCCTCCTCTGTCACATCTCTCACACACTCCTGAAGGGTTTGTTAGCCACAAAGCTATTATGTGTAGGACCATCTCTTCTCATGAAGCAGAAAGTAGCAGAAAATACTGTATGATTTAGGAGGAAGGTGAGAGAAGAAACGGACTGGAACTAGGTTGTAAAGCTATGTAATTCACTCACGATCATCCAGATGGGGACAGAAGGTAAAAGATAAAATATATGTTGTGCAAAGTGGATGCAGTAAGATTCCTCTAAAAATGAACTCCCCATTCAGCTGTCTTGCAACAAAAACTCTACCTAATCCATCATTCACCTTCTACAGTATACATCTCTTTATTCCTCCTTATTTTGGGTCCTACCACTGTAGCCCACTGGTGGAGAGATGCCAGTGGAAAGAAAGAGTTATGAGTAGGAATTGCGTCCACTCACAGTACAGGCAAGCATCCAAAACACCTTAGTATTTTGGGAACTTAAGCAAAATGTTCTTTCCCTCTGCACAGGACACCAGAGAAGAGAAGACCTCTTCAGTAACTATGAGGCTGTCAAGTCTCCTTCCCAAATGAATTCACATAGTGGTAGCTGATCAAGAGAGGTCCTTGGTAGAAAAAGTCCTGAGCCTGCCAGCAGTTTGAACAGTCACAGACCTTGAGAAAGGGTAAATGCCTGGTCAGTGGCATAAGCCCTCTGTAATTTCTTTTCTGAGATGTGTTTAAGGTTCTTCTGAAGCATCAGGAGCTCATGCTAGAACTCCTCAGGTCATTGCAGATAGCTGTTGTTAGAGTCACAGTTTGTTCCCTGCAATACCAAAAGTAACAGACTGTAGCGGTAGCAGAACCTAATGGACTAAGAAAAGCAAGACAAATCTTGCCTTAAGACATCTTTTTTCTCTTGCCCTCTCCCCTGCCAGTTATATTCTCTGTACTACTAAAATAACTGTGGTGGCCACCAGGTGAAGCACCCCATTCTGGGTGACTTCCACATCAATTCACTTTTAATTGAAAGAAGGAGGCAGCTGAAGCTGCTCTGTTTTGTGACAATTAGCTCTGGCCATCAGACATGAAACGCTATCAGTCTGCTGTATAGAGACACAAAATCTGAAAGACCTCAAAATGCTCAAAGTGCACTACTTGAAAGAAATCTTAGGTTAATATAAATCTGGATGAAATTGCTCAAGGAGCAAGCATTCAGGAAGACTCAATCTGTCCAGTCTCAATAAGGTTCATAAGCTTTGTTTCAGCTCTGCCTTAGAAGCCTACAAGACTTCCCATGTGAACTGGCTTATGTCTGGTCTGCTTGAGCCCAGAATGAGCGAGCTCAAGTCTGTTTACATATGTCCCCTCTGGCACATCCTTCAGGTTACACGGGTAATTATCAGGCTAGCTGATATACTTGAAATATAGAGGTGACACACTACAGAGAAGGGTCAAGCTAAAAAGTGACTCTAATAACAGAAAACCTTCTCTTTTGAAGGGTTATCTTAAAAAGAATGCTCTAAAGCACCTCAGTGAGCAACAGATCTGACTGTTCTCGTTCAACATGTGCCTCCTTGATCCAGAACACAGACAGAATTTCTTAACCTCTCAACCCTTTCAACTTTAAGCCACTAATGAAATTTTAAAGACGCTCCAGCATGATGCAGATCATTAAGACGACAGAAGAGTTGGAGA